ATGACCACTGTTGCCAAGGAGAGCCAGAGAAAGGAAACTTAAACCAGGGATCTTGTACCCATAATATTTAATTCATCACCACAGACGCTGATGTCTGCAGGACAAAACAAGGACGAAATGACACAATTTAAAACCATTTATTTGTCTCTTTAGCAAATAAAATTTAAACATGCAATTTATCACCCCAAAAAATACAAACGCTATAACCTGCTGGGATTGGTTGATTTGCACCTTTGTAAAAATATTCATGGAACATGGAAATTTACACTCAGCCTGAAATGCAATACTTATTTGTGTGAAATATATCCATCTCAGCAACAACAACAAAATTGACGTGCATACTGTTGCAAAGTGTATTTTGCTGTCAGAAATGGTCAAAAATGTTTCTTTCTGTCTCATAAATGAAAGCTAGCCCTCAATTGCAATGGCACTTCAAAAGGCTTGAGCATATTGTTGATGGCCCATAGATTGTCTTTGTGTTAATTGATTCGCTCGCCCTCCCTCCCACCTCTTCGCTCCATCTGCCTTTATATCCCTCCATCCACTGCTTTCCTTTCAGATAGAGTGTGGCTTGGCTCAGCAGTGTTTCCAAACGGCACACTTGAGTCACCTGTAAGGGTTCCCGGGCCGCCCAATCGGCGATCGCCACTCCGAACGCAACCGACCAACCTGTGAAGGTTTTGTTGCTGGGAGGAATCGCTTTTGTCTTTGCACAAGTGGCCTGAAGCACAGAACCCTTTTGTTTCTGCTCTCAAAAAGAGCAGTAAATTCAATTTAAAGATCTTGAACAAGGAGAACGTCTTCTCCTCAACGGCTTCTATCCTTTCAGGTGTAATAGACTTTTCAAACGAAACTGTTGGATAATTTACAGAGGACTTTGCCATCGTTCAGACTGTTTGACGTTTGTTGGGTCCTTGGAAGTAATGCATCTTTGACAGCCAGGTCACGGTATCAAATTCAATCGGCTTGACCCGTTTTGGAAAGGCAACACCGGACTGGGAGGCAACAGAGACGCATGTCCCTGCGATAACAGTGGAACTTTCTTTACTGAGAGGACTTTACAGTGGTGCCAGACCGACTTCTACCCATCCGGATGGGACTCTCATTGAAGTTTGATCAATCCCATGTATGCAAGTTGAGACAAGTGCTCTGAGTTCTTCAATTATTCATCACCTCAAAAAAAGACCAGGCGAATGTGAACTAGTCTGAGAGAACAAAAGACTAGATCGAAACTTTTCTCTGATAAAATTGAAAGACAAAACTGGCAAGGAACTTTCAGGAAGGGCTGACCGAGACGGATTAGCAAACGTGGCCGGCTAGATGTGGTTGAACAAAATATTGCTCTGAGAAATTGGGAAGACAAAACCAAGAGGTAATTGCTGAGGATTGGCAAACGTGACCAAAGACGGGATTAAAACTTAAGTTATTTGAGACGACACTGGCAAGGAACTTTCAAGGAGGACTGAGTGACGCTTCTGGCTGAGGATTGACCAACCTGACCCAAAGACGAGCTAAAACAAATTTTGCATTGAGAAATTTGAGACAAATGTGGCGCGGAACCTTCTATGATTGGCAAACCTGACCCAAAGACGAACAAAAACTCATTTTGCATTGAGAAATTTGAGCCAGATCTGGTGAGGAACATTGTAGGATTGGCAAACGTGACCCAAAGACGAACTAAAACAAACACATTTTGTATAAAGAAATTTGAGACAAATGTGGCGAGGAACCTTCTAGGATTGCCAAACTTGTCCCAAAGACGAGCTAAAACAAATTTTGCATTGAGAAATTTGAGACACATCTGGGGAGGAACCATCTAGGATTGGCAAACGTGCCCCAAAAACGAACTAAAACAAATTTTGCATTGAGAAATTTGAGACGTCTGGTGAGGAACCATCTAGGATTGGCAAATGTGACCCAAAGACGAACTAAAACAAATTTTGCATTGAGAAATTTGAGCCAGATCTGGTGAGGAACCTTCTAGGATTGGCAAACGTGACGCAAAGACGAACAAAAACAAATTTTTGCATAGAGAAATTTGAGAGATTTTTTTGAGGACTGAGAGCCGCTTCTTGCTGAGGGTTGGCGATCGTGCCGACCTCTGTGGCCGAGTAGGGCTGAGGCAATTATCCATAGTCGTAGCACATAAGCGTAAAGGTGTCGTCGAGGCTGTGGCCCGAGGAGGCGTGGTACTCAGAGGGTGGCGAGATGGTGAACACAGGGATGCAGCTGATCAGCTTCACCTGTGCTGTGACCGGATGGGTGATGGCCATCGCCGTGACCGCGCTCCCCCAGTGGAAGGTCACGGCCTTCATCGGCAGCAACATCTTGACGTCGGAGATCGTTTGGCAGGGGATCTGGATGAACTGCATCTACCAGACCACCGGCCACATGCAGTGCAAGACCTACGACTCCATGCTGGCTCTCCCTCCCGATATCCAGGCGGCCCGAGCGCTCATGTGCATCGCTATCTTCCTGGGATGGTTGTCCTGCACCGTGTCTTGCTGTGGAATGAAGTGCACCACTTGCGCCGGGGATGATCGCCATGCTAAGGCGGGTATAGCGCTGTCCGGCGGGGTGCTCTTCATCCTGACGGGCCTGTGCGTTCTCGTACCGGTTTCTTGGACTGCAAACACTGTGGTGCAAGACTTCTACAACCCGAATGTTCCCCTCCAGCACAAGCGAGAGCTGGGTCAGGCCATTTACCTGGGATGGGCGTCTGCTGTGATTCTCATGATTAGCGGGGCGGTTCTCAGCAGCACTTGTCCACACATGGAGAGAGGAGGGTATAGACGGGGGTACATGGGTCGTAGCTTTGCAAACTCCAGGCCTTCCGCTCCTGATCTTCCCAAAACTATCACCACCAGCACCCTTCCTCTCAAGGAGTACGTATGATGGAGAGGAATTAAGGCTCAACAGGGACAATAATTAAAGATGCACTCAGTACTTTTTTTGATTTTGATTCAATGGATGGATGCATTTTGTGGCAATTGAAGTCCAATCCTTTATCTACTCTGTTTCATCGCTCCTTGTGTTTGGCAAATCGGACACATAATGCTGTTGACTTTTTTTCGTTATGTGTTTGAAAATAATTATTGCAATTCTGTTTGGTGACACAATCTGTGTCATTTCTGCACCACTAGCAAAAATGAAATTGAATAAAATAATAATGATTGCCAATTACCATTGTAAAATAGATTGGCTTGCCCCAATAGCTCGTTTTTTAACGTAATTGTGAGACACAGTGTTCTCAATGAGATCTCAACATGTCCGGCTCGAGGGTGAGAGTACATCACTTTACATGTCAAAAGCTTTATTAATTTCTCTTGGAGTAAAAATTTTTAATGTGTGAAGATGTACTGAGTGCACCTTTAATTAAAGCCGGTCTATTAGAGCGAGATCAGTGTTCGAGAAACATGTACAAACACCCTAATGTGTGTCACTCTCTGCCTCTTACTGCTGTTTATTCAGGGACGGTCCTATTTATGAGTGCTTTATTTAGATTTGAAGTCTTAATTTGACTTTGATCACTTTAGTCTGGGGAACATATTCACTTATAACTACGACTTTTGCCTCAAACTCATAATTAGGCTATTTCTTATTATCAGTTAGAAAGCGTAGTTTAGGTATTAAGGGATGAAGAATATCATCATGCAGAATAAGGCATTAATATGTGCTTTATAAGTACTAACAAACAGCCAATATCTTAGTAATATGCATGATAATGAACAACTAGTTAATAGTGAGAATTGGACCCCAAACTGAAGTGTCGATTGGTTTTTAGACCAATAGTATTATCTATGGGCTAACTGAACTCTAAGGCCCATTTGCAGTGTTTTTCATATGTAAATTGTTATTTATCTTGCGTTTTGTAGACAAATTTCAACAAAACGCTCTGTTCACTGTGATTTCTTCATTTATTGGAAATGTGTGTGTTTGAACCTTTTTAGGAATAAAAAGGATGTGTGGTGTGATATTCAATAACAACAGTGCAATCATTTTATCAGTGTAAAGAATAAAAAGCATTCAATAATCCTCCAGTGCTCTTCGGTCAATGAAAAATTCTTTACTTATTTATTTTTGTACTTCATCGGAATGGTATGAATTTGGTAAAGGTTTTGGCACTTGCTATGTGAAAGCATGAAATAACTTGACATGATTTGAAAAGAGTATGGTCCCACTTGTATTTTTATGGTAAAAAATGAATGAGAAACTAATTTCATCTAGTTTAATTTCAAGCTCATTTTTTGAGATATCAACCTCAAATTAGGAACAGTAATTTTAAAACTTCATCAATGATCTGCTGAGTGTCGTCTTTAAAATGAGATCAAACTTACATCTTTAGTTCCAAAGTATTCCAGGTTTATGACAGTTCGAAATTTCGGTTACAATTTATTTTAATGTGTCATTAATACAATGTAAGTATGCATTTATGTACGGAGTAATAATAATTAACAACGTGCTTACTATAGGGTTAGGGTGGGATTAGGGTTAGTTGCATGTAATTATGCATAATTTACTACGGTAAGTACATGTAACACATAACAAGGACCACGTAAAATAAAGTGTTACCGAAATTTTATTTTCAGGTCTATGCTTAAAATGAATAAATGTATTATAACTACTGCATAAATATATTTTAGTACCATAAAAAGACAAAATATTAAATAAAAATAAATAAATTATAGTACAATAATTTCATTGAAATAAAATTAAGAATAGTACCAGAGGGTTAAATAACCAGATTTATTAAAATAGAGCCCTGCTCTTACAGTGATGCTGATGTACAGTCCTGCAAAGAATATTAAAATGTGAGCTCCATGGAAGTAGAAGCACTGCATGTGTATCCGGATGACAAACTCTCTTTACAGATCCTTTGTTGCGATACTGTGGAAATGAGCTCTGGATAATCACACAGCCGAGATTCATTCAGTCTCCATGAAGAATGATACTTGACTCAATGAATCTGAAACATACACACACAAAATATATATATTCTTATATTTTAAGAATCCATCTTGCCACAGGCAGCTCGCTCACTTGTAACATTGTGCATGAGTGCATGTACTTTTTAAATAACAATAACTTGTTCAATTTTTTACCGATTTTCAAACAGTTTTGTTTGTTATAAACATCACAGATCTAGTTATGACACAGCATACTTATAATAAGTGTATAAATAAATAATCATCCAGAATTATAGGCACGTTAATAACGTTTGTAAGAAACCAAACCATTTGTAAATCCGTCAAGATTGCAGCAAGATAAGAGTATTTGTGTTAGTGCTGATCACTCATCTTACATCAGGAACCACAGAGAACACTTGCCTGTGCCAAGATGGCCGCCGGTGATGACGATAGAGACTCTGCCGTAAGACATCTAGCCTTTATTATGGATATCTATGTCTGTAACAGTTCAGTGCAAAACACTTGTAATCAGAGAAAGGCCTGAGAATGGGCCATGAGTGAGTACAGTGCACAAACCTGCGATTCTCTGTTCTCCGCTTGCGGAGTGAAGACATTGCCATTGCTTCGGTGCCGTTTCCATCAACACGAGGTCACTGGGTGTCAGCGTCTGCAGGAGCGTCCTTCTGCGCACTAATCTGACCCCACGCTGAGGAATTCATCACTGCGTGTGTGTGGCTCACATGCTGAGCTGGCTTACCGATACGAGCCATCGAAGTGACACGGGAGGAAACAATGTATTTCAATGATTTTAGAATTACTTACATTCCCTAACAAAACTGCAGGCAAATACATTTCTCCCATTTTATTTCCGTAAATAGATGCACAGAAACTTTTACCGAATGACCGGCATGAAATGGAAGTGTTTTTTTTTTTTTTTCCTATTGTGACGTGAAACTTTTATCAAACAAGATCAAATGTAGACCATCAGAGAAGAGGAAGTTATTCAGATTCAAGATCACCAGGCAGGAACATCCATGTAAAGTTCCCCCGTGGTGAAAATCCATCCATTTTTAATACGCTTTAAGACACACCATGTGTAAGTTCATAAGTCGACAGCATTGCTGAGTATTTCCTGCTTAAAACTGCAGTGAACCAAAGACAGTCTCAAAAACACGGTTTGAAATCGCTGGTGTTTCTGACGTCACAAACGACCTTGTAACCAATCAGTTCAACGTGTGATCGTCAACCAGTGGATCTCTGAGTGAGTGGAGGCGGGACTCATTTGCATATTCATAGAACCGTGCATACTAAATGAGGCAAGGGTGTCAAGTTACATTCGAGATATTTTAAAGCAAAAGGAAAAAACTTTTAAAAATGTAATTTTGGTGTTTTAAGTGATCAAATTATTGACTACAGGGGGACTTTAAAACAATACTGATGTCAATTTTGATTTCATGGTGACTTTAAACTTTGAAGGATACTGCATACGAAAGTGTCGTTCTGAATCCTGGAGCCACTCTAGCATGTCTGAGATGGAGGGAAACGCGGCTGATCTGGACACACACGCAGCGACGTCAAGAGTCTGTGTGTTTCTCTCATAGAGCTGGAAAACAGCCGAAACCTGCTGGCCGACGGCATCTCGCACTCGCTGGAGGGCGTCCCTGTGGACAAACACACCGTTACACCGTGCACTGCTAATGGGAGACACTAACACACTCATTTACTTGAGGACTAGAGTACAGTTTATGAGTATCTGTACTTTGCTTGAGTATTATTTCTCCTGGAAACTTTTTACTTTAATCTCACTACATTTGAAAGACAAATATACTTTTTACTCTACATTTCTGTCAAGGTCCAAGTAGTAACGTCAGTCAGAGGATGATTTTGGTTGTGAATAAATATGATTATGGGCATGGCTGTATTTTGTTTTTGTCAATTCAGTTGTTTAGTCTCTATAGGGTTTATGACATTCTAAAAGCTCCTAAAGATACTAGTAACTGGTGTGTGTAAGTTACTAGTAACTCAAGAGGCATACGGTACTGCAAGTATACAATAATGCAACAATAATAAAACAGTGCATTTACTCTTTACTTTTGAAGTACTTTTAAAAACGAGTACTTCTGTGCTTTTACTTGTGTGAAAATCGGTCTTTTCAACTTTTACTTGTAACGTAATATTTGACCAGTACCTTCACTGAAGTAAGGGAGTTGTGTACTTTGTCCACCATTGAAATGATCATGAAACAAGACTCACATGTTCTCTGTTAGTTTCCCGAGCGCTGTATCCACAGCCAGAGAGAGTTTGCAATGAAGGCGTTCCTGTAAACCAGGGAAACTAGCGAGAGGAGTGTTTGCGAGCTGGACGTGTTTCAAAGCCTTTAACTGCACTGCAATGTTCCCTATAGAGCTCAGGAGAGGCTCGCAGTCCGCCAGCGCACTGTCCCACACGGCTTTATTCGCTTTCAGAACCGCAAAGCATTGCTTGAGCTCTTGGTGCAATGATAATAAAACTGAACCTGACATTTTTAAACTCCGATGTTATTTACAAAGAATTAATATTATACAAATGTTAAAGATAGCATTTGAAGCTTATCTGATAAACACACATTATCTGTGACTAAGCGTGTAAAACCATCCCGTTTCCACACGTGAGAATGTCAGTCGCCAGACTTCTTCCGGGAAAATGTATCATCATCATCATCATCATCATCCACCAATGCGCTTGATTCTTTCTGCAGCCGTAAAATTGAAACACTCAACCATTGGCCAGAATCTTCATGTACTGATCCTATTGGTCAGAACGCGGAGCGACGGTCAACGCTGCATGCTGATTGGCTTAGCTAGAGATGTAGCGTTAAATTTGAAAATCCCTTCCTGTTTCCATCCCAACTGCCTCAGTCAGTGAGACGCGCCGTTTTAACTAACACGCACAGGGTTATTAGCGTAAGAAACATTAATTTGATTTAATGAACTAACACATACGAGCGTGATCGTTGCGAGGCCGAAGGAATTAGTCGTGTTCGTTGGTAAGTTTCATTATGGCGCCTAGAAAACGCACGCAAAATGCCAAAACCAAGAAGAATCCCAAAACCCCCAAACTGGAAGCTTTTCTGCTGGATTTCGACGACGAAGGTTTCTTACTTTACTCGCTGTATTCTGTATGCACAATGTTTAGGCTGTATTTGTCTATATTTCTGCTTATTCTTTGTTTCCAGTTCATACCATTGTAGAAAGACTGAAGGATAAGACGAACAATCTCCTGAAAGATGCGGATAATCTTTATAAAACGGCTCTGATCAAGCTTCCCATGGCGGTGAGGAAGATGAACTGGATCGAGTATTGCAGTAAGACAACACTCTCTCTCTTTACCACATCTGGCAAATTATTACAGTAGTCAACATTTCAAGTGGATCAAAACCTTTCTTTAAACCATAACGTTACATATTTTGAACAATACTAACTAGGGTGACCATATTTTGATTACCAAAAACAAGGACACTTGGCCCGGTGAACAAATACTCAAATAATACTCGATGTTTACTCAAAGATGCCTTATTAATTTCAATACATTAACGTTAAATGTAAGCGATGCCTCCTACAAGAAACAAATTCAGATAAGCTTCTTAGAGGTTAACTTACTCAACATGTTTTATTATGACGGGTTTAACAAATTATGAATTAAATGAGAGCAATAATGTATTTTCTGAAAAATAAGTATTTAAATAATGATTAAAAAAAGTTTCTCCAAATTGAACAAAAATAGCTCTCATAATCTTGCAAAATCTATTTACATCTTTAGTTTTCTTCCTCTTTATCCTGTTTTTCCTCTTCATCCTCTTTGTTTGCCCATCTATATTTTGCTGTAGAGCTGATCTTTCCCAGCAGTTTTTTGATAACCAGGACTGTTGGTCACCCTAAACAATACCTGTACTTTGACAAACTTTTTTGACCCACTTCAAATGTTGACTACTATATATATATATACACATACACACACATTTACCACCTATTTTACTACCATCACAATATTTTTACTACCAACACGGCTTCAAACTTCAACTGTAGCAGTGTTAAAGAGCCCCTGTCATAGCATTTGAAATGTTCTTATTTTTGTTTTAGGAGTTCCCAAAAACAGTTTAACATGCTTAGAAGGATAAACACTTTTATTTGTCTTATAATATGCATTTATTTTTAACTGATTTGCTCACCGACTCCCAAATTATTCGTACAACGACTCCTTTTTCCAAACCACTCCTTTGCGTGACGCTAATCGGCGGTGATTGGTCAGATGACAGACCCAGTCAGTTATTGTTTGTTAGCATAACGCATAAACATATTGATAAAGCACTGCAGTACTACAAGACGCTCTATTCTTAATGACAACTCCAATAACAGTGACAAACATTTCACATATTTAAAGAGCCCCTATCATGGATTTTTGAAAATGACTGTTCATATGGTGTGGAATATAGCTCTAATAATGGAATGAAAACATCCTGCAAAGATTTATATCTGAAAGTGCACCGTATCTAAAGTTATTGTCTTTCAAAAGTGAGAGTCGACTCTGAGTCTATGAAATGAATTGTTTTTGAAACGAGTCATTAGCTGTTACATCGTGACGTAGAGACATTCTGGCCGTGCCCAATTACTGCGCGCGCAGACCGAAATGCAAAATTGAAGTCTATATTCAAATACTTCTTTGTAGCATCATGTCGAGAAGACACCGTCTTCTACAATGCAACGATAGTACAGCCACTTAGTTTTCATTTACCAGGGACGAGCATGTGAAGAATGGTGATTAGAGTTCATATTTGCAACGATACCACAACAGTATAGCCCGATTGTGTTCTCAGGGCTTGACATTAACTTGTTGAGGCACTTTTCCTTCGGACAAGTAAATTTATGTTTCACTTGTCCATGAACAAAAGTCACTTGTCCGGGTAAAGATTTATAATTTTATCTAGGGCTGCATGATTTGGGGAAAATTTCATATTGCATATATTTCATATTTCATTATTGAGGTCAATAATATTGCGGTTGTGATATGCGATTGAGATATATAATAAACAAATGGTTTCATGAGTCAACTTGTTTGGTTCTAAACCAAATGCACACACAGATTAGTGATCATTCTGAAATTAGCAATAGCAACTAAATGATTGATTAACACCTATAATAATCAATAAGCCATTGATGTCTGGATAAAAATGAACTGTCTAACAGGTAGGACAAATACAGAAATTGTTTAAAGTTATCAGTCTGCGCTGCATAAATTGACTACTCCTTATTAAAGCTACACAAGTTCTGAGTAATTTTCTCTGTTCCCTTTGTTGTTTCATTAAAGGGCATATTGCAGGTTAGAGGACCCAACGAGTCAATGCATAGAAAAACACTGTAGGAACTAGATTTTCTTTAAAATATTCTTATAAATACGCTACAGAAGCTTATGGAGTCGTTTTTGTCCGAAATTTTTACTTCCGTGTCTGAAAATGGGCGTGGCGGGCGTGACGCAATGAGCGGGAGACTGGGGAGAGTGGTCGATTCACACAACAGGAAAACAATGGATAGCAATGACATTTCGGACGCTGAGGAAATACTCGTATGACTGATCAAGCCATAAAGTTCTGAGCCTGCTATGCTAAAGAGAGCAGGGACTGGCCAGGATAATGTCAGACAGAACGGTCAGAGACAAATTGTGTGTGATGTGAGAACCAGTGGAGAACAGTGTCTTCTGGTGAGAGACTTGCTTATAGATGTACACGCTCGCTAATGATATACACTGTGCTCACAATACTGTACAGATTATTATGATCCTATAACAGGCCAGCAGACATTAGTATGTTTAGGGTAGATTTACACTATTAAATGTATAAAAACTTTACTAAAGTATATTTCTATTGTACTAAAAGCACTCGGGTAAAATTTTAATACATATTTTTCACCTGGGTTATAACATAAACAGAAAATTAAAGATTTGAGTATTTAAACAACCAATTTTGTTTTCCAATTACAAGTTGCCTCTATTTAGGGCATGACAAGACTAAGACTAAGTTACCTATATATCACACTATTTAGGCGCTTTTCCACTGCATAGTACGGTACGGTTCGGCCCAGTACGCTTCGACTCGGCGCGGAACAGTTCGGCTCGCTTTGCGTTTCCACTGCAGTAGTACCCCTTCAAAGTGTGTGGGACTGATCGTTATTTGCGCGCGTCTCTACTGCCATGACATCATCTTAAAAGCGCCACATTTTCAAACCCACAACACAGGAACAATGGAGACTATCGAGGGGATGGTGTTACTGATTCTCGGTATGTGGTTGTTTTTAACTGCTAGACGGAAAAATGTGTTTAAAATGAGGCTGATGGCAGCAAAACAAAAATACTGTTAAAAAAGTGTCTTGTGTCGCAAATCCAATGACGCTAGTAGTGACGCTGGTAGTGACGATTCTGTCTGACCAATCAGTGATCTGCAGTGTTTCACGTCACATTTTAGTACCGGTACGGTACGCTTGGAACCTCAACAGACCAGGTACCATTTAAAGCGACCTGAAGCGAACAGTACTGTACCCTACCATGCAGTGGAAAAGCACCACAAGTGAGCCGAACCGAACCGTACCGTACTATGCAGTGGAAAAGCGCCATTTGATGCCATTGGAATTAGGGGTCGACCGATTATCGGCGCCGATTTTAAGCATTTTTATGTTTCTCGGTATCGGCCATTTTCAAATCCGATTTGCCGATAAAATAATTTTATTTTGAAATGTGCTATTTTTGGCTCTAACGCAGCCACCTCTGTCGGAACTCACCACTCTGTAGACTAGACTTATGTCTCCGCACATCTGATTTGTTGATAGTCACGAGTCCGGCCAATCAGCGCGGCAAGCTGAAGGCACTGAAAGTTTTGCACTCACACCGAGACCGAGAGCACTCGCTGACTGGAGCTGCTTCACGGATCACGCATCAGTTGTCTCTCAAAGGCATCAGTTGTCTCTCAAAGTTAAGGCAGCAGCAGATTTTGCTGAACAAGCATTGCAATACACTGAAGTTGCAAAATACCTCAATATAATACAGCCCTGTGATTTCCG